CACGAAAGAGCTCTATACTCGAATTCAGTAAGGGATTTACACACACAGGTTTGTAACTTAAACATATAGAAAGTATCAAAATAGAGAAGGTATCAGTGGTAATAAATATTTACTTTAAACAATGTCTAAGTGGTGGTGGTACTACATCGGAAAACTCAATATATATGTTCTATATATTACTATACGGGACTTTGGAACAAATCTACAACTCGATTAGTATGGTTTCCAAAAATCATAAAGTCTTTAGAGGTAAAAAGAGGAGAGTAGTTATTTTCAGTGGTAAATTGATAAATACATAAAAGGTTGGTTTTTAAGTCATGAACATTTAAAACATTCCATATAATGAAAATACATGTAGGTGTAGAACCTTGTTCTGCGCCAACATTCGATATAATGAAAATAAGTTATATTAATGGCATATTTGTGTTAAACATGTCTCTTCTATAGCCAATTATATCCTCACATTCATCCTTGCCTCTCAATGTTCAGCTCAGCTTGAGGGAGATGATAAACAAATATAGATTTAATAATCCATATTAGGCTTGCATAGTACTCCGATCCCTCCATCCATAAAGATAGGCACGGTTTGACTAAAGTGGTAAAATAAGGAAGGATAATTTTGTGTTGATCGACTTTCCAAAAATATTCTTGATATGATGGGTAAAAGTACGATGTGATGTGTAGATTATTAGGAAAAAGGTATGATATGATAGGTAGAGTATGAAAAAGTAAAGGAAAAAAGTGGTTTTTTAATAAGAATGAGAAGGACTTTTATTAGGAACACGGTTTTTTTTGAAACGTGAAGGACTTTATGGGACGGGGGAGTATAGTAATTATTTAAGTCATACATTATCATGGAGTAAATTCATTATTCCATGAAGATGAAATAAACACCAATGATACATACTCTTAACTTCTCACAATTTGCACATCACCCCCTCCTTTTCTATCTTTCATCGATCTATACCCTACCACAACTCCAAATTTGCTACTCCGGGTAATATATAAAGGGAAAGAAGGAAGACCTAAAAAGCACAGGATTTGATCTAATCTCTCTAAGTTCCATCTCCTCTTCCATCAATTGGTAGCTAGCTGGAGAGCTAAGAATCAGTTCAATTAATCATATATCTTCCCCAATTAATTTTATGGCAATTTTGTCTCAAAAGATGAGCCAACACCACCAAGACGGCGAGAGCTTCCGCAACAACGACGACGACAACAACAACAACAATATCGGATGTTTTCACGGTGAGGAGGTGGGACCCACGGACATGACCGACGACCACGAGCACGACATGGTCATGCCCGGCTTCCGCTTCCACCCCACCGAAGAAGAACTTGTCGAGTTCTACCTCCGCCGAAAGGTCGAAGGAAAGCGTTTCAACGTTGAGCTCATCACTTTTCTCGATCTTTATCGCTATGACCCTTGGGAACTCCCATGTATATATATGCCTCTATTTGCCATATAGTTATGTATCTAAAAAGTCATAATAGATATAATCTTTTTGAGATGGGAGCGAGTTATATATATAGAGTAACTAGGTTTTATCAAGAATGATTTGGTTTCCTATATCATTTTGGGGTTTCTTAAAAGTCTTTTGACTTTCTAATTTTTTTTTCTATTGTTTTGTTGTAGCTTTGGCAGCTATAGGGGAGAAGGAGTGGTACTTTTATGTGCCAAGAGATAGGAAGTACCGAAACGGTGACCGGCCGAACCGGGTGACGACATCCGGGTACTGGAAGGCCACCGGAGCAGATCGCACGATCCGGGGCGAGAATTCGAGGTCGATCGGGCTGAAGAAGACGCTCGTTTTCTACTCCGGCAAAGCCCCCAAAGGCATCCGTACAAGTTGGATTATGAACGAATACCGTTTGCCACACCACGAGACAGAACGGTTGCAGAAGGTGCATATATAAGTCTTGTTTGGGAAGAACATTTTTAATCCGTATTATCATTCTTAATCTTTTTTAAATGGGTTGATTGACTTTGAAAAACACAAAAGCTACACTATGATCAATTTATCATTGGATAGTCTTTTAAAGGCTAAACCTAAATATTGAACTATCTAGTTAGTTGTAAAAGTGGCTTATAATTATAAGTTTATAACATTCACGTATGTTTACAATTTTTTTTCTAATTAATTAATTCCCAATTCCTGCGTAATTATTAATCACAAAAGTGTTTTAAAAATGGGAATGAGCATTTTTTTGTTCATGATTTTCTAAATAAATAAACAATTAGCTTATATCTTGAATTATTTAATTATATACACCTATAAAGTTTTGGGACCAAAAGAAGTACAACCCCATGATATATAACAAGAATCCCGTGATCTTCATTATTATTTCGGTCCAAAAAAATTGGATTGAGTTTAATTGTTTTAATTTCATCAAATTATTATCCTGAATAATGTGTGAAATACATAAATCATTGAATAATACAATTTAATTATGATGATCATCAGGCGGAGATTTCACTTTGCCGGGTTTACAAAAGGGCGGGAGTGGAAGACCACCCATCCCTGCCGCGCACTCCGCCGGCGGCCTCTTCCAGAAGAACAAATCCCGGCAATAAAATACAAGAATCATTTCCGCCGGCGGCCGCCTTAGAGGCGGGACCCGCAGTACCGCCTCCGCCTGTTTTCTTTCCGGTGTCATCATCGGCCGCTCTGGCCGATGATTTGCACCGTCTGGTGAACTCCCAACACACTCCCCCACAATTCCCCCAAAACTACTTTCAAACCCTTTCCCCCCATCACTTCCCGCCACCACCGCCGTTGCCGCCACTCCCGGCGGCGGGGACTCTCCTTCCGGCCACTTCCACCTTCTGTGATAGACTGTGGGATTGGAGCTCAATGGTGGATGCAAGTAGAGACTTTACTAGCTAATAATAATAATAATAATAATAATAATAATAATAATAATATTATTATTATTATTATTATTATTATTATTATTATTATTATTATTACCGTATTACTATTATTATTATTGTTGTTGTTGTTGTTATTATTATTATTATTATTATTATTATTATTACTGTATTATTATTATTGTTATTAAACGGGTGCAGTTATTAGTTATATTACTCCATGTGGGAGTAGTGCTATGCTAATTAGGGTTTTAAGTTGTTTATTTAGCATAGGAATTATTTTGAATAAGTTAAAGTGACTGTAATAATGGATGTGAGGAACCGTTGCTGTAAACTTTTGGTAATTATTAGACTTATTAATAAATAATGTACTTCCTTTATTCATATTTAATTGCTTATATATTGTGATTTTTTTATGCATTAAAAATTGAAATAATGTCATTTTTATGTATCATATGAAACTAAATGATAATTTACCTAAATATGACTAAAACATTATGATTTTCTAAATATAAGACCATAAGTTTTTATTTTCCAATGTATGACCATTGGTCATTATCAATTAGTCATTATTCAACTAAATGTCCAGAATCACTTGGACATTATTCTTCTCACTAGTCATTATTAGGTCCTATTTAGGGAATAAAAAAGTTTAAATCCTACATTGGGAAACGACTTATGTTTTGGTCTTATTCGGTGCAAATTTCACTTAAACTTATAAGATCCACTACAAAAAACTGCTGAAATGGCGACGGAATTATTCCGTCGCCAAAGCCTTATTTCCGTAGGTGATCTTTGTTACGACGGAAATAACGACGGAATCCATTCCGTCGCTATTTTTTCGTTAGTAGTGAGTGTGACAACGGATTTTTATTATCCGTCGCTAGGCTACGATGGATGTGGCGACGGAAATTTGCGACGGAACGCACGACGGATACTTTCCGTCGCTATAGCTAACGACGGATTTAGCGATGGAATATGCATTTTGACCACATAGCGACGGAACTGAAATTCCGTCGCTCATTCCGTCGCTAATTTGACAGCTTACCACCTGCAGCCTGCTGTTTTTCCAATTTCGCACCCCTCCATAGCAAAACTCAGAAATCCCAGCATCAAACAACAACAATTACTGGAAATAAGGATTACCAAACAACCAAGAATATTCAAATCACCAATAAACAAGTAAAATTCAAATAATATTTATAAAAATTCAACATAACTATCAAATTTAACTCACTTACATATTCATAAAACTTAAGTTTAATATATTGTTCTNATAAAGTCGGGTCATCTCTTCTCTAATCGATAATAATTCACGCGCTTGGGAAGCTCGAATGTCATCTAGCTCTTCTCTCATTTCTCACGCGCTTGGAATTTCAGAAGTCGATGTTGGAAGAAATTGAAAGGATTAGAATAAAGTAGAAGAGGTTGGAAAATGTTGAAAGAATTTTTTTTTTTTGAACCACATCACATCTTATTAACTCATCTCAATTAGTAGGTTATACAAACCTCAGTAATCCTCCCATCTCAAACCTACTTATAGGATACCACACTACTCTTTCTCATTTTACTATTAATGAAACATTGTATATTAAACTTAATATAGGATACACATTCATCCACCGTCATTTCCCTCCTTTGGTGCCATTTTGTGTTTCTGGCCTTCCAGATTGTGTAGCATATTGCCGCCCAAGCTGCTATCCAGACTCTTCTCTCCCTTCTAGCCCCATATTTACTCAACTTGTCACAGTAGTCTTGGAAGCTAGAGGCTTGGAGTATACATCCCAATGGCTCCATAACTTTCCTGTACAGCTGCTTGGAGAATAGGCATCCCTAAAATAAGTGGTTGTTATCCTCTTCCTCATTGTTACATAGTATTAAAAAGTTACTCAATTAAATGATCATCTAAATAAATATGTTAGAAAATTTTAATTTTCGGATAAAAAAGAATTCATCGTTGTCCGTGTTTTAGGGGATTTGTTACAAATTTGGATATATAATTTTATTTTATATTAATTATATATATATATATATATATATATATACATTTTTTAAAGTCGTTATTGAAAGAAATTAAAAGGAGTTGGAAATTAATTTTCCAAATCAAAAGAATGTAACACGACCTAAAAGCAAGAGTAAGTTTTTTTTTTGAAGCAAAGAACAACATGTCATTAACCAATTAAGTGCGAAATACAAGCAGGTGGATCGGACGGCCAAATGTTGCCTCCATCCTCAGAGTTCTTAGCCAAAACATGAGCAATAGAATTAAAACGCCTTGAAAAGTAACAGAAATGAACCTGTGAGAAAGAAGAGGCCAAAAGCCTACACTCGCTCTCGATAATTCCCAGGTAAGATCGGTCTTCAGCTTGCCTCTTGTTTAAGGCCTGGATGAGCAACGAACAATCAGAAAACAAAGCAACCTCTGTGACACCCCTCTCCTTGAGCCAAGACAATGCTTCCTTGACCTCAAAAGCCTCCCCAACTCGAGCCTCAAAGGGACAACGAACGATTCTACTAAAGGCACCCCCATAGGATCCATCCTCCCTCAACAAGATCGCTGCCACCCCAACCGCATGTGAGCGCACGTGAAGAGCGGCATCCACCATACATTTGAGACCCCTCCACGCAGCCACCTGAGGCGAGGACAACACACGGGGCAGATCTGTTGCATGGGTTCGTGTCGCCGCCGTTGCCCACTCCGCCACCACAATCGGCCTGACTACCTTCTTCTCCCATAAGGCTGCATTTCTAGCCTTCCAAACTGCCCAGGTACCTGCCACAAACAAAGCAATAGTGCTGCCCTGGGCGTTGCGGAACAGCCCCTCTGCCCACGAGACAAAACAGCCATGCGCCGCCACAGTAAACTTCAAGCAGCTCCAGACCGCAGCTGCCAAAGGACAAGCAATGAAGACGTGCTCAAGGGACTCTCCTTTAGCACCACAAGACGGGCAAATATTATCAAGCTCCACGCCCTTCTTCGTAAGACTGTCACAAAGTGGTAAAATGCCTCTCAAGGCCCTCCACATGCAAACATTAACCTTGGGGGGACCTTCAACTTCCATAGTATGCTCCAGTGCGTAAACCCCGTAGTGTTAGCAGCCTCCCCCACCGGCTTCCGATAAGCCGACTTGACCGAGTAGCATCCAGTCGCCTCCAACGGCCAATACCAATCATCCTGTAAAGAAGGGGAGATGGGCACCATAAGTATGCGGTCACAATCGGCAGGATTAAACCAAGATCTCACTGTCAACTCATTTCACGAAGCCCTGCTATCATTAAGCAACAGCCTCACCGGAAAGTCCGGGCAGAAACTAGGTTTAGGTGTAGAAACCCTCGGATTTGAAGAGTCCCAGAGCCACGGGTCAGCCCAAATAAGAGTACCTTCGCCGTTTCCGACCCTACGGCGAATGACATCCTTGATCAATGGTTGTGCCGCCAATATACTTCTCCAGACGAAACTAGGATTAGGCCCAGTGGAGGCCTCCAAGAAGGAGCCCTTAGGATAGTACCTAGCCTTGAAGACCTTAGAGAGAAGTGAGTGAGGCTTAGTTAGCAATCTCCAACCTTGCTTGCCAAGCAATGCTAAATTAAACGCATGAATGTCCTTGAAGCCGAGGCCTCCAAATTTTTTGGGTTTCGTCATCCGCTTCCATGATAGCCAATGGATACCCGAGGAGTTTTTACCACCACTTTGCCACCAAAACTTGTTCATGAGGCCCTCAATTCTTTGACAAGTGCTGATGGGTAAAGCGAACACACTCATGGCGTACTGGGGCATGGCTTGAGCGACAGTCTTCAACAGTATCTCTTTGCCTGCCTTTGAAAGAAGCCGCGTGTGCCAGCCACCAATGCGATGACAGATCTTATCTAGGATAAAAGAGAAAATCTCAAATTTATTCTGTCCGATGAAGGACGGGAGACCTAGATATTTCCCAAAATCCTTAGCTTTAAGCACCCCAAAAAAATTAGCCAACTCGTCTTGCACCAGCGGTGAGGTATTAAGGCTAAAGCAAATAGTAGACTTCTGAAAATTGACCTTCTGCCCTGAAGCCAACTCATACACCCTGAGACAATCCTGGACAGCCTGCGCCTCTTCCAAAATAGCTTTAAAAAACAAGAGACTATCATCGGCAAAGAAAAGATGAGAGATCGGTGGAGCTCCTCGAGACACCCTGAGGCCATGGATGCGCCCAACACATTCAGCCCTGGACAGTAGCAAGGATAGCCCCTCTGCACATAGGATAAAGAGATATGGGCTTAGGGGGTCGCCTTGTCGAAGTCCCACGGACGGGGTGATGACATCCGTGAGCGCGCCATTAACCAAAGCTCTGTATCTGGCCGAAGTAACACACATCATAACCAACCGAGTCCAAGCCTCATCAAAACCAAGGGAGTGCATAAAGGCAACCAGGTAGTTCCATCGAACCCGATCATATGCCTTCGCCATAGCAAGCTTCAGCCCAACCCAACCCACCTTCCCACACTGCTTCCGCCTCAAGTAATGATTGTATAACATATGGAGTATTACTTATGGTATTGTTTAATTATAGTTGGCTTCCTATTCTTGTTTATAATACCATTTGGAGACTTTGGAGGATTCCCCCACCCTACCCTTGCCCGTATGTCTCCTCCAATATTTCCACTAGCTAGGCATTCTGCTTAAAACCCCCCTTGAAACGCATGTGTGGAGGTCACGGTGAATACTATACCTACCTAAAATGTTAGAATGCTTCTTTAATATTTCGTATAAAGTTTAAGAAAATATACTTATATAGTACTAAATCATACTCCGTAATTGTTTTTCTAATATAGTACTTAATATTTTAAATTCTCTAATTAGTACTTAATTATTAAATAATTAATACGAATTATTAGTCCAAATATACAAAAGTACTCCTTGCCCATAACTATATATAGTTTGCATTTTTGAAGGGATCGTTCCCTCTCTCGCCCATACTATCATAATTATCCTTCAATATAGGAGTTTAGGTACTACTCCGTATAATTAAGTACTGTTTAGAGAATAACATATTTTAGGTACTATATTGAATAACATATTTTCTCCGTCTCATAAAGATGTTTCTGTTTTGAATTTTAAGAAATTTAAGTGATATATAATTTTGTGTTGACTTTAAAAATATATCATTGCTGTGATGTGTAATAGTAGAATGTGATGGGTAGATTATTAGTAAAAATGTATGATGTAATAGGTAAGTTAAGAATTAATAGGGGTAAAAGTAATTTTTTAAAATAAAGGAACAATTACCCAAAATAATCCCAACTTTAGCCGGTCTTTCAAAAATAATCCCACCTTTCACTGTGATGCATAATAATCCCAACTTTATTGAAATTTGCCAGTTTTGGGTCGACGTTAAGTTTCTAACGGAGGGTTAACGGAAATGCCCGTTTTAGGCAACAAAATGAAAGTTGGGATTATTTTTGATGAATTTTTGTTTTTTAATTTTTTTTGAAATTTTTATTTAAATTTTTTGAATTACTTTCAACCTTCATTTCATTTTCTTTTTTTTAAATATTACTCTTACCTTAGAAAAAAATAGATATAAAAAATAATGAAAATGAAAAAAATAACTAAAACCATATAAAATTAATCAAATAAATAATGTAATCAATAGAAATTAAACAGAAACTGGTTAGAAATAAAGTAAATATATACGGAGTGGTGGGTTTTAACATTTTACACACTATATGGAGTCTTAATGTACTACTTATTTTTAAAAGAACAAGCCATCCGATAAAGTTGGAATTATTGTAGATAATTTTTTCTAAAATATAAGAAGTGATATGTTAATACTTTGTATAATGCGTAAAATATTAAAACCCACCCGTATATTTTTATTTTACTCTTACCAATTTCAAGTTAGTTTCCATTGATTACCTTGTTTATTTTATTATTTTTGTATCATTTTAATTATATTTCTCATTTTTTTCATTTTTTATATCTATTATTTTTATTTTTTAAACTAAGACTAATCTTTAAAAAAGGAAAAAGAAATGATGATGGAGGTAGAAAGTAATTTAAAAATTTTAAATGAAAAATTTTAAAAAAATTTAAAAAAATGAAAATGCATCAAAAATAATCCCAACTTTCATTTTGTTGCCTAAAACGGGCATTTCCGTTAATCCTCCGTTAGAAACTTAACGGTGACCCAAAATTGGCAAATTTCAGTAAAGTTGGGATTATTACGCATCACAGTGAAAGGTGAGATTATTTTTGAAAGACCGGGTAAAGTCTGGATTATTTTGGGTAATTTTTCCTAAAATAAAAGGTAAGACTTTTGTAGGAAAAGAAAAAAAAGGAAGTTTTTGGGACGAAGGGAGTATATATCTTCTAATAGTGTTTAGGGTACATTTTACTGAAGATTATTGCGAAGTGTTTTTTCTATTTCATACTCCCTCCATTCCTATTTTGATTATATTTTTTTTCTCTCGTCTCAATAATTTTTGTTTATTTCCGCGATTTCATTAAATATTTGATATAATAAAATATTATTGTCACCTTTTTTTTGTAGAACTTTGATATAGATTTTTAGAACATGCGCAGCGGCGAGGCATTTCCTCGCTCGCTGCGCCACATCAGCTTCCTCGGCACTTTTGCCTCGCGTGGCTTCAGCCTCCCTCCATGCCAAGCGTGTGAGGCGCGAGGCATCTTCTTTTTTTTATTTTTTTTAGAAGAAATAATTTTTTTTTAAAAAAAGAGTACATCTATATAAAAAAGATAAATGAAATAATTTTTACTAATTAAAATGCATTAAAAAATCATAAAAATTGACAAATGTACGAGATGCCTCTCCACTCACTTGCCACACGCTGACTGGATTGTCTTTTATTGGTTGAAATGTGTACATGGATGTTTATATAGGTGAGGATCCCTACATGGACTAGGATTCACCAAATAAGTAAACTAACATAAATAACAATTCTGCTATAACTAGACTTCTTTCCATATATGTCTAACAATGTGCCACATCAACGTGTGGCATTCCATTTCGTTACTTGCCATTGCCCGTGCTCTTAATAAACACAAAAGGCAACCATTACCAAAGGACATCCCATCTCTGAGGGTTCTCTTAGACTCGGTCGGACAGACACTGAGTTAGAATTTGATCACAGATAGGTGGTAGCGAGTGAGGTTTGCACGTTGTACTTGCAGATGTCTTATGCTTAACATAATTATCTCCAAGTAAATGTGCCAGGAATTGAACTTTGGTTTACCTTTTTGGTATTCTTTATCTTTGCCAATTGTTTAACGCCTATCGACAAAGCGTCTATTATAAAATGTATGAGGACCCAACATAAGCATCATTTTTTACAACTTTTGCTCAAATCACACTTTCCTGTTTTTTAGTGTTTGTTAAATATTTGTCTTCCACTTTCACATTAATTAAGCTATACTTTTTTTAGGATCAAAAGATTTCTTCATATTTGATAATGAACACGTGTTAAACTTGTTCCACAAAAAGATACACACTCATGTATTTATATGAACGTTGCAAATTTTTTGTTGTGTATAAGGATTATCACAATCCAACATCATCTTTCTTTACTTATTTATTTATTCATGACTCATGAGACCAGATTTGAGTATAGTAGAAATAGATTAATTAACTCATTGTATATTACTAGCTAGATTGAGAAAATACAAATAAATAGTACACTCTATAACATTAAAAAAATAAATTCTCGTTTCAAATACACCTTGAACCATAGAGTCGTGCTAGGGTAACCCAACATTTTAGAATTACAAAAAAGGGAAATTTACTTAAATAGCACTAAAACACAATGACTTTCCTTAAATAGCAGCACATGTGTTTTTTTCCCAATGTAGCAGTTTTAGTCATTATGCATTAGTCATTATTCAAGTAAATATTCATCATCACTGGACATTATGGACATTATTAAGTGCTATTTAAGAAATAAAACAGTTTAAGTGCTATTTAGAAAATAAAACGGTTTAAGTGCTATTTAGAGAAATGACTTAAGTTTTATTGTTATTTAGTGTTAATATTTCTTACAAAAAAATCTACGCTTTGCTGAAATATGGACGAACCGTAATTATCTGTACGTTAGCGCTAACATTTTAGAGTTGTCATGAACTAATATTTTATACAAACACGCATAAATAATAACTATTGGTAGGACAACAACAATTACTGTTTTTTTGTTTTTACAATAATTATTGTTTGAAAAATGATAGGGGTACACCAAATGTGTACCTCATTTGTCCCCCACCCCTTCCTTGTCCACACAAAAAAGGCAAGAAAATTAAAAAAAATAAAAAATAAAAATAAAATAAAAATGGGGGATGGAGAAGTGAGTGGTGTACAAATGGTGTACCCCAAATGGTGTACCCCTAGCACTCTGTTTTTACAAGAATTGGTTGACCAGAGGTTTATTCTTATCCGTATACGTTACCAAATTGAAGTTTTTAGGGAAACAGTAATCTAAAAGAAGAACAAGAATCCATCTAACTTCAAACTGGCTACTCCATTAGTTCATTTCCCTCTCTTCAATCTCAACTGCCCTCTATAAATCTCTCAGTTTCAGCTTATTTACATTCTCCCGATGCCCAAAATTTATGTGTTTTTAGTGTTTTAGTCCGTACAGAGAAAAACCCTAACTTCATTCCCAGGGCTCAAAGTTTCAATCTTTTTAGGTTCCAATTTGAGGGAATTCGTCGATTTGTGAAATTTCGTGCGGGGGACATGCAGGGAATTCCTCCGCCTATGCCCCGCACAGTGGGAGATGTTTTCGAAGACTTCAAAGGCCGGAGGAGAGGCCTAGTGAAGGCGCTCACCACTGGTTCGTTTCGTTTTTCACTTTTTTCTTGATTTGTTTCAGGTATTTATGTATATTATCTGTGCAGAGTAAGTCAGAAATGTGTGTTTTTTCTTTATGCATTTGTTAAGGTGCGTCTTTCGGTGTTTGAGTTTTTGCTCATTTTGGTTTCTTTTTGCAGATGTGGCCAAGCTGTATCAGCAGTGTGATCCTGGTGAGTTTTTATTTTGATTTTTTTTAAATGACCTTTTTTGGTTTCACTGGTTTTCTGCAGTAGGATTTGTGCTTCTGATTTTACAGAGTTAAGATTTCCTTTTAAAGCAGTGTGAAAGTGAATATATCTGTGGTGCAACTTTGTGGTCTCATGCTTTCTGTCTAGATTTGATCACGAAAAAAGTTATGTGCTTCTCTGGTGGTCCTTTAGAATGAGCAGTTGCAAATAATCACTCAGTACTCATTCATTTACCGGATTCTTTGTAGTTTTTGTGTTTGTGTCATTGAATATGAGGGTTTATCTTGCATGATTTAGACTGCATAGTTGCATTTTAGTTCAAGAGAATTATGAACTAATTTCTATTGAAATACATGATCTTCATTGTGGTATATTTTGTAACCATTTTAAATTTGGAAAGCAGTAAATAGCATTTAAGCATCTCTTTTTCTCTGTGTTGGTAATTTTAGGTGATAGGCCCACAAATTATGTTGTCTATGGAATTATCGTTCGCTGTTTTTTTTCTTATACCAGCTAGTATTGCTCCTAGAGCGGGATGTATGGTGTGATAGGTCCACAATTTAGGTTCTCAATTGAATGATCGTTAGATGTACTTAATTTCTTATATCGGCTAGTATTACTCCAATAGAGGAATGTATTTTTAAACAATGGATATATGATCGGACAATCCACATAAAGTAACAAGGAGTTGGCTCTTAATGGTGATTTTCAAGACATCAACTTACATTTAATACAACTAGTGCTTGATCAATTCTTTAGACTTTGTTGGAAACATCAGTGTCACTTGAAGTCTTTAATATTCTTTACAGAGCATCTGAGTTCAACTTCAATTGTTTTCTGCTCTAAATACTTGTTACAGGACAAAATGCACAGTTCTATGCTTCTTTTTTTCGCATGAAGTTAGTGTTAGATCAATTAATTGACACTAGAAATATCAAGCCACCTATCCCAACTAGTTGAGATAACAGCCTTGATGATGATGATGATGATGAACTTCACTGTCCAAGTTCTAACGTATTTTGTTTGCTGGTTTAAATTGCATCTTCTTATTGGAGGAAACTGTAATGTCAAAAAATGACCAAATTATCTTGTCATTGTTAGAGAGGCAAAAGGCAGTGAAAAAATGAACGAAGCTAGGAAAAGCTCAGTATAAGGCTCTAGGCTCTGATGCCGCTTAAATTGGAAGTGATGAGTTGTATCAAGATGATTATCTTGAGTTTGAACTCTGTTGTACAAAAAAAGACTTGAGTTTGTGTAAGTGTCAGAACTTGGCAAAGCAGAAATCTTGATTTTGAGAAAGTCTGAGGAGAAATTTTATCAAGTTAATGGATAATGAAAAGTTTGAAATAAAATATAGTAGAATGTGTAATCTCAGATAACTAAGGAGAGTGTAATCAGGTTAGGTGTTATTTTTATGTGTGGAGAATTTATCAAGACCATTAATAACATCCCTAAAAGTCACACTGTGGAACACTATGGTAAATACTACATAGTAAGAGTCTAACAAACAACAACAACAACAACCCAGTTGGATCCCACAATAGTAGGGTCTGGGGAGGGTGTGTGTACGCAGACCTTGCCCCTACTCGGAAGTAGGGAGGCTGTTTCCAAGAGACCCCCGGCTCCACCTGCACAAAAATATGTTAGTAAGAGTCTAACAGATGAAGTAATTTATTTATATTATGGCTCTTCTCTTGGATATAGTCCTAGCTTAGTTAGATGGTCTCTTTAATTAGTTCCAATTTTAGTAGAAGAATTTTTTCAATCAAAGCTTAATTAAAGGCTCCATTCCCAAAGTACAGCCATCTTTGTAGCTCCTTTCAAGCATTTTTTTATTTGCAAATTATTCTAGCAAATACACTGTCCACTTTAAATGTTTTCTATATAATGCCCAGTTTCCTACACAGCGCACTTGGTGTGGCAAAAAGTTGTTTATGAGATAATTTGAACCGTTATGAAATATATGTTTTCTTTTTGGCCATTTAATCTTTTTCCTTTTTTATGGATTTGTAGTCATTCTTTTCTGTTATTTAGAGGAGCAGATAGTAACAGTGTTCATGTCATATTTGATGACTTTCAGCTAGTTTTATTCCAGTTTTTAATGGCATTACATGGAACATCATATTGACAAAGCATTTGTTGTTTTTTTTTTGCACTGAATAAGTGAATATTTGCTTAATATAAATGAGTAAATTCTGAATCATTTGATGTTTTGCTTGTAGAAAGGGAAAACTTGTGTTTATACGGGTTTCCAAACGAGACATGGGAAGTCAACCTTCCTGTGGATGAGGTCCCATCTGAACTTCCTGAACCAACACTGGGCATTAACTTTGTTAGGGATGGAATGCAATACGAGGATTGGCTCCTGGCTGTGGCTGCTCACAGTGATTCTTGGTTGCTTTCCACTGCATTCTTCTTTGGTGCACGGTTTGGGTTTGGCAAGAGTGAAAGGTAATTGCATTTATTTACGGACAAAATTAATTCCCTTTTTTTAAAACAGAACTAAAAAAAGGGACCTTTATTTTCCAAAAAGAAAAGGGATAGCTTTTACCTATGCATGTGAACTCTGCTTTAGGAAGAGGCTATTCCAGATGATTAACGAGCTACCAACACTATTTGAAGTTGTAACAAGGGAAGCAAAACACGGCACAGTTGCTGATCCCAACAGCTGCATGAAAAGAACTTCTGGCAGAAAGGTTTGTTTTTGGCCATCATTTAGTCCCCGTTTGGCAACAACTTTAGCATTTTGAAAATGTGGGTTTTGCTCTCTAATGTCACGGTCTCAGCAGACTGAAGTCCAACACAGGGAAGTAAAGATGTCTCAACGTAAAGAGGCAGCAGGTGAGAATGAGGAAGAGGAAGAAGAGGAAGAGGAAGAAGAAGAAGAAGAGGCACAAGGGGACACACCATGTGGAGTTTGCGGGGAGTTTTACGCCGAGGGCGAATTCTGGATTTTGTGTGACATGTGCGAGAGATGGTTTCACGGGGAGTGCGTGAAGATCACTGAGGCAAGGGCAAAGCACATCAAGCAGTACAAGTGCCCCAGTTGCAGCAACAAGAGAGCTAGAGTGTAGAGCTGAAGAAGGTGAGTAGAGAACTTAAGAAAGAAGAAGAAGAAGTATTTTGATTGACAAAGCCAGAGGGGAAAAATTAGAATGTAAAGCTAAGTAAGTTAGAATGTGTTTTGCTAATTGGCTGTCAAGAAACTTGTCCATGTTTGCATTCTGCTGTGTCAATACTCAATGCTAATTTAACTTGCCCCCCC